AGAGACAGAGAGACAGAGAGAGACACAGAGAAAGAGACAGAGACAGAGAGACAGAGAGGAGAGAGACATACATTGATTGACAGAGATAGACATTTGAAATATATTTATATATAAATAATACCTATACATATGAAATATATGTATATATATTTGAGATAAAAGTTTCTGTTTTGCATACACATATTCACATTTTAAACAATACTTCAGAACCCAGCAGTGTGAATATAATCAGTGTTAAACTGGATATGCAGGTAATGTCTATAAAAATGGAGACTCCTCTGCTTTCCACCCAAAATGTCTCGCAAATGATTGATGTGTTCAGAGGCAGGGCTTTCGGAAGGGAGTGAATCGTGGGCGATCTCCCCTCCTGAGTGGACTAATCCACCGATGAGCTCATAACTGAACATCCTGTCAGGACTTGGGGCCTGGTGGAACAATGGGGTCACTGGAGATAGGACATGGAAGAATATTTTTTTGTCTTTGTCTTTCCACCCTGTTCTTTGAGAATAATTTCTACATACTTTAGTTCTGATCAGGTTGTCACAGTAAAATTTATACCTGCTGCTGTCCCCTTGCAGTTGTTTCAATGTGTGTCAATATGTGTATGTTCAGTTACATGGCAAGCTCCTCAACAATGAGCTTGATATTTCTCTCAAAATTAAAGCAAAAGGAAACAGCAAAATAATGTTAGATGCAGATCCAACATCTAGTAAATGTCTACTGATCAATAGTCACAAAGAAAAAGCTAACCTCGTCAACATAGCATGTTTCCCGTGTAGATTTGGGAACATATCCTGGGAAACTGGTCTGCTGAAACTGCTGTCCTAACGCAGGCACCTGGGATAGCTTCCAGCCTCTACTGATTCTTCTCAAATAAGACCTCTCTGGACCCTAACAGCAAAGAGAAAGACCGAAGATTTCCCATTGCCCCAGAGACAAGAATAATGGTAGCTTTCTTCCTCTTGTTGACTGAATCTGTGATGAGGAGCTACACGTAGAGAAACTGCACTGAAATCAAGTCGCCCCAGTTGTCTTCATTATTGCCTGCCCACAACCGAGAGAGTCTTTACTTTGAATTCTGCACTTTGACATTCATAGTTGGGCTGTGTTGCAGGCAAGCAAGAAAGCAGCTTTCTTTTCCCACACTAATTAAAATGTAGAAAAGCAAATTTATACTTTGAGGAGGAAAAGGGTTAAATTCATCGGTAAAGTGGTTTAACATACCATAACTGGTAAGGTAGTCTAAAATATTTCCCTCAGGTAAAAGTTAGCCACTGCTACTACCAAATTTTAAAACATACATATGTAAGAGAAGTGTAGAAGTAGGTATTCCAAGCTCATGAGTACTTTCTGCCTGCACTTACGGAGAAACATCATTAGCACTGTATGCCTATAATTTACTATAACCAAGTCTTGATTATCCCCCATAATCCAAGATGAGACACCCACAAATCACTTTGAATATGTATTCATGACTTTCTTGATACATATTTCATCTAATGTGTGCCTGTTTCAATCAAAAATTAAAATTAAACGCATTCCTCAAAGATTAAATGTTGAACAATAGTAGAATTTAACATAGAACAGATGATCAATGAATACTGATATGAAATTAAGCATAAATAACTAATTTTTAAAAAACTAAATAATCTATACATAAGTAATTAGATTTGTGAAACAGTAATTATATTTATTAACAGAGAATGGTGAAATTATTAAGAATAATCTTTAAAAGATTTCCGAGCTACATGAGTATGAGCAGCTGAGATTGGTGGATTTCTAGCATGAGCCAGTTTCAACTATGAAAGCAGAAATGGTGAAACCTGCCTCAAATGGTCAGTTCTGCTGTAAAGGTGAAGTGAAATAGTATGCAAAATTATCACACAGGCTCCAGGACACCTGCAGTATGACATTCCTTCTTTATCTTAGGAGCAGTCATCAATAGGTAGTGCATTTATTCTAGGGCAACAATAGATTTATAAATTAATCTTACAGATGCTCAGCAAGGTCCTTTAAAATTTTTGAAGGGCTACTGAGAGAGCTCAGTGTTCTAAGTGACTGCCTAGGCAAGTGAAAGGACCTAGGTTCGATCCCTGGCACCACAAACCATGATGGGCTTGCCCAGGGTGCACTGAGACAGTCACTAAGACCGGAGGTGGTGGCACAAGCCTGTAACCCCAGTGCCAGGGAGGCTGACACAGGATGATCACTATGAGTCTGAGCTGCATAGTGAGGCCCTGTATCAAATACATAAGATTAAATGAATAAATAAATAAAATATTTTTTTGTGTGTTTTCCTCTCCATTAGGCTTTACACTCACATTGTTGAGACAGGATGTCTGTGCCTACCACATATCGGTTCTCACAATCTATCACTCAAATGAGTGTATGAGGAAATTCGTAAATCGATTGTTCAAAATATTTAGCTTTCAATTTCTTAAATATTATTATAGCAATTTAAAATTAATTTGCATAAAT